TGCTTTGCTGCGTCAGGGCCTGGACGGATTGCTATCATCGAAGGAAAAATGAATTCCCAAGTTTATCAAGACATTTTGCAGGAGAACTTAAGGCCATCTGTCTACCAGCTGAACCTCAACAGAAGATGGGTGTTGCAACAGGACAATGACCCAAAGCATAGAAGTAAATCAACAACAGAATGGCTTAAACAGAAGAAAATACGCCTTCTGAAGTGGCCCAGTCAGAGTCCTGACCTCAACCCGATTGAGATGCTGTGGCATGACCTCAAGAAAGCGATTCACACCAGACATCCCAAGAATATTGCTGAACTGAAACAGTTCTGTAAAGAGGAATGGTCAAGAATTACTCCTGACCGTTGTGCACGTCTGATCTGCAACTACAGGAAATGTTTGGTTGAAGTTATTGCTGCCAAAGGAGGTTCAACCAGTTATTAAATCCAAGGGTTCAGATACTTTTTCCATCTGCACTGTGAATGTTTACATGGTGTGTTCAATAAAAACATGGCAACATTTCATTCTTTGTGTGTTATTAGTTAAAGGACCACTATAGGCACCCAGACCACTTCAGCTTAATGAAGTGGTCTGGGTGCCAGGTCCATCTAGGATTAACTCTTTTTTTTTTATAAACATAGCAGTTTCAGAGAAACTGCTATGTTTATAATATGGTTAATCCAGCCTCTAGTGGCTGTCTCATTGACAGCCGCTAGAGGCGCTTGCGTGCTTCTCACTCTGAAAATCACAGTGAGACGACAACAGCGTCCATAGGAAAGCATTGTAAATGCTTTCCTATGAACTGTCTTGCCGCGCATGCACATTCAGCCGAGGAGGAGGAGAGGAGGCGGAGAGGAGGAGGAGAGTTCCCAACCCAGCGCTAGAGAAAGAGGTAAATTTAGCCCCTTCCTCACCTTAGAGCCCGGCGGGAGGGGGACCCTGAGGGTGGGGTCACACTCAGGGCACTATAGTGCCAGGAAAACGAGTATGTTTTCCTGGCACTATAGTGGTCCTTTAAAGCAGACTGTGATTGTCTATTGTTGTGACTTAGATGATGATCAGATCACATTTTATGACCAATTTGTGCAGAAATCCATATCATTCCAAAGGGTTCACATACTTTTTCTTGCAACTGTATATATATTTATGGTGTTAAAAAAAAGAGCATAAGTTCCTGTTTTTCTATTAATATTCTGCAAGTCTTATGGCTGCTGTGTCATAGAGTGGAGGAAGAAATAAAATATCCATATAAGGAAATAACACAGGTTCTGTTAATCTGTGCTATACAGAGAGTCGCCTAAATCCCTTTGTGTCTTTGTAACAGGGCTTGTTCAAGGCAGCAATCACCAGCTTTGACATGTGTATATGTGATCTAACAAACTAGGGAAATATAATACATTTGCATGAGAAGAGCCTGCAACTTTTACAACTTTCTGCCTAACGTTTTCTAAATATTTACCAAAATCTACATCTCTGTTGCTGAGTATATACATGTGAAGAAAATAGACTTTTACCTGTTATTTTCTCCCTTTTTATTTGGTATTTTACATGTGAATGCTTGTATATTGAATGGATTGGTTCGGTAGTTTGAAACTACCGAATGCCGACCACCCTCCTGGCTCATTTACTTCAAAGACAACTAGCTATTAAAGGACCACTATAGTGCCAGGAAAACATACTCGTTTTCCTGGCACTATAGTGCCCTGAGGGTGCCCCCACCCTCAGGGACCCCCTCCCGCCCGGCTCTGGAAGGGGAAAGGGGTTAAAACTTACCTTTTTCCAGCGCTGGGCGGAGAGCTCTCCTCCTCCGCTCCGCCTCCTGGGCTGAATGCGCACGCGCTGCAGAGCTGCGCCGCATTCAGCCGTCGAGGAAAGCATTTACAATGCTTTCCTATGGACGCTTGCGTGCTCTCACTGTGAAAATCACAGTGAGAAGCACGCAAGCGCCTTTAGTGGCTGTCAATGAGACAGCCACTAGAGGATTAGGGGGAAGGCTTAACCCATTAATAAACATAGCAGTTTCTCTGAAACTGCTATGTTTATTAAAAAATGGGTTAACCCTAGCTTGACCTGGCACGCAGACCACTTCATTAAGCTGAAGTGGTCTGGGTGCCTAGAGTGGTTCTTTAAGTGCTCCCTGGGCGGCCGCTGTTCGTATAACCGAACGCCACGTGGAAAAGAAAACGGCGGCCATCTTGTTCGTATGAGGAGAGCCAGCGGGACTTTGTCGTCGAGTGTCTGGAACTAAAATCGGACACTCGACCTCACGAACTACCGCTGGAAACTACCGAACGCCGGCTTCTCATACTTCCCGAACAGCCAAGAAAGCCTAATTCGGTAGTTCTGTGCGAACGGACAAGGGGAGCAATCGCTACTATGAGCCAGGGGAATCCATTCGGGACTTTTATTCGTTTTTTTTCAGTTTTGTGAATTGTCCCCCAGATCTGGGCTATCAGGGGATATGTGTGAGGATACCTTGTGGGGATAGGGGTGCTCTGAGTTTTGGGGAAATTGTGTGCTCTCTGCCTGGAGATAATTGGTTTACTCCTTAACTTATCTCAATATCTCCCAGGCAGAGAGGAGGCGTGTAATACTGTAAATCTGTGTGATGATTCGATGTTGCTTTTGTTTGCTGTGGGAGGTCCTCTTGCAGGAGGATTTCTCATAAAAGCCCGTGTGTTTTCAATAAAGGCTATTCCTGTTACACCCTTTATGAAGTCTAGGCTCATGTTGGGGGGATATTCTACTTGCTGGGAAGAATCACCTTGGAACTGCATTTCATCTATTCTATTCCTCTACTCCCTACTGCAGCTATAATCACTCATGCTCAGCTGTTGGGGGAGGGAACCAAGACCGCAGCACCATAACCACTGCAGGTCTTAACAACTGGTGGCAAGCGACGGGATTGAATGGAACGCATAAGGACAACTGGTGAATGGCCCAGCAGTACGAGGACAAGTAGCTGGAAGCTCGGGGACAAGTAGCCAGCAACAAAAAGAAAGCTATCCTCATAGCAGAATTGATGGAGGGCGACCAATCCAGCAGCATGACGAATGTCAGCCAGGAGGAAGCTGAATTCCAAAAAAAGGTGATGTGGAGGCTAAACCTATATGGGCCAAATCCCACACCTGAGATGGTGTCCCAAGTGCTGGCACAAGTGAGCGCAGAGCGGAGAGCGCTGCAGGCAAGCGTGAACCAAGGGGACAACGTTTCCCTAGCTGGATCTATAAATGGAGGGCAGCAGAGAAAGATCAACTATGCTGCATTTAAAAGTTTTGCAGATGGAGACATGGAAATTGACGCATACCTGCAGGATTTTGAGCGTCAATGCGCATTGGAAGGTCTGAAATCAGAGCAATGGGCCGCGATTTTAAGCAGTAAGCTGACAGGCCGAGCAGCGGAGGCGTACCGAGCAGTTCCTGACACAGCCATACACGACTACGCCAGGGTAAAGGACATTTTGCTAGCAAGGTATGCCGTGACCCCAGAGACTTACAGAAAGAAGTTTCGGGCATTACAAAAAGGGGGTCGAGACTGCTACACCGAGTGGGCCTTTAGGATGTATCGGGCAGCACAAAATTGGATACAAGGCTGCCAAGCCACAACGCTAGAGGAAGTACTACAACTTTTCTTGCTAGAACTAATTTTTGACCACACTCCTGCAGATACCAGGGACTGGGTCAGAGACAGGAAGCCGTCCACAGTCGAGGAAGCAGCGAAGCTAGCAGATGAACATCATGAGGGAAGAAAAGGAGAAGCGGGTGGGAACCGTCCTCTGGTAAGGTACAGCGCCCCAACGCCAGGTCCTGTAGCCAACCCCAGACCTAACCCGGTACCACCCACGACACAGACTACTTTTAATAGAAGAGCCCCTGTAGTATGTGACCAGTGCAACCAGCCAGGGCACTACAAAATGCATTGCCCTCAGCGAAGCAGAGGCAACTGGGAGCGGCCCCCACCACCACCAAGGGCCGCCGCTCACCACTACCAGCATGAACCCCTGGAAGAACACAGCCTAGATGCAGAGCAGTGGGCCGTACTACATGAGGTGAACCTAGCCCAAGCTGAGGGAGACAACCGGGTGCACCACAGACAATGGGTCACCATCGACGGAAAAGAGGCAGAGGCGCTACGAGACTCTGGGGCTACCCTTACCTTGGTACAACCTCACACGGTGTCTGCAAAGGCACGCAACCATAGGACTGGAGCCGTAAGGGTGGCAGGGGGCGCCATCCACAAGTTACCCACAGCCCGGGTACAGTTAAACTGGGGCAGCGGAGCCAAGCAGATGGAGGTGGGCATTATGTGGGGATTACCTGTGGAAGTTTTGTTGGAGAACGATTTGGGGTGCCTAACTTCCCAGCTGACTCACCCCGATCCCACCGGAACCTGCCCCGTGACGACCAGGGCACAAGCCTGCCGTGCTGGACCGACACACTCCGAGGAACCACAGGTAGGAACTGAAACCCCCGTAACCTGCCCTACCCCTATTCCTTTCTGGGGCACTCCCTCAGATTTTGGCCAAACCCAGCAGTCAGACCCCACCTTAGCAGGGTACAGGAAGGCAGTAGGGGTCTCTAAGGAAGGTAGTGGCCACGAGAGCTTTCACTGGGACAAGGGACTGCTATATAGGGTCACAGAGGGAGTGGGGCAGGGGGCAGTCCAAGTTATAAAAAGACAGTTAGTCGCACCCCGTAAATAGAGGGCGGAGCTGCTAAAGCTTAGCCGTGATATCCCGCTAGCCGGACATCTGGGTATCAAGAAAACTAAGGACAGTCTTACCCAGACGGTCTTCTGGCTGGGGATATCCAAAGATCTGCAGACCTGCTGCAAGACATGTGACACATGTCAAAGGATAGGGAAAAGGGGGGACACCCTAAGGCCAAGTTAAGATCCCTACCTATAATAGAGGAAGCATTCTACAGAGTGGGAGTAGATCTGATAGGGCCTCTCAGCAGACCCAGCTCCTCCGGGAAGCGCTACATCCTCACAGTGGTAGATTACGCCACCCGGTACCCTGAGGCTGTAGCGCTCTCCAATATTGAGGCAGAGACAGTCGCAGAGGCTCTAGTCAGGATCTTTTCCCGGGTAGGGTTTCCTCGAGAAATACTCTCAGATCAGGGAACCCAGTTCACGGCAACTGTAACGCAACAGTTGTGGCAGAGCTGCGGAGTAAAGCCGTTATTTAGCTCCCCTTACCACCCCCAGACTAACGGGCTCTGCGAACGCTTCAACGGCACGCTTAAGCAAATGCTCACAACATTCACAGAGTCCTATGGTCAATGGGAGAAGTTTTTACCCCATCTCCTGTTTGCCTACCGAGAAGTGCCTCAGGCATCCACTGGGTTCTCCCCCTTCGAACTCCTATACGGGAGAAAAGTCCGGGGACCCCTGGACCTCATACGGGAGCACTGGGAGGGCAACACAGGAGAGGAGGGGATCCCGGTTTTACCATACGTGCTGGAGTTTTGGGACCGCTTGCAGGCCCTAACCGAATCAGTTCGGGAGAACCTGCAGGCGGCTCAGAAGCGTCAGAAACAATGGTATGATCGGGGAGCCCGAGACAGGAACCTGGAGGTAGGGCAAAAGGTACTAGCTCTCAGACCCTCCAAGAAAGACAAGCTCCAGGCCGCTTGGCAGGGGCTATTTAAGGTGGTGGAACGGATTACCGACACCACCTATATTGTGGCTAAATGTTCAGATGAAAGGGTCAGACGGGCCTTTCATGTGAACATGTTGAAGCCATACTTCGAACACTCTGAGGACGTGGCCGCCATTTGTGCCCCGTCTTCTGACGACAGTGAAGGGCTCCCCCTACATGACCTGCTGGCAGCTAACCAAGGTACCTTAGAACAGGTCGGGTTGGGAGAGAAATTCCTGGCACTATAGTGCCCTGTGTGTGCCCCCACCCTCAGGGTCCCCCTCCCGCTGGGCTCTAGGGGGAGGAAGGGGTTAAACTTACCTCTTTCTCCAGCGCCGGGCAGAGGACTCTCCTCCTCCTCGGCTGAATGAGCATGCGCGGCAAGAGCCGCGTGCGCATTCAGCCAGTCCATAGGAAAGCATTCACAATGCTTTCCTATGGATGCTGGTGTCTTCTCACTGAAAATCACAGTGAGAAGCGCGGAAGCGCCTCTAGCAGCTGTCAGTGAGATAGCCACTAGAGCCTGGATAAACCCTATTATAAACATAGCAGTTTCTCTGAAACTGCTATGTTTATAGAAAAAAAGGGTTAAACCTAGCTGGACCTGGCACCCAGACCACTTCATTAAGCTGAAGTGGTCTGGGTGCCTACAGTGGTTCTTTAATTAAACAGAACTTGCAATAAAGAAAGCCTAAATAGGGCTCTCTTTACAGGAAGTGTTTATGGAAGGCTGTGCAAGTCACATGCAGGGAGGTGTGACTAGGGTTCATAAACAAAGGGATTTAACTCCTAAATGGCAGAGTATTGAGCAGTGAGGCTGCAGGGGCATGTTCTATACACCAAAACCGCTTCAGTTGTTCAGGTGACTATAGTGTACCTTTAACTAAGAAATAATGATGGACAAGTTGTGATAGCGTAACCCTCTTAATTTAAGAATAGAACGATTGGGAAAATGAGGTGTAAAAGTAAAGAAAAAGCAAAGACTTTATACCTTATTGGTATTATTTACCAGCTCTAAATTCTTATTTTTTCTCATTAGGATTTCTCGGCACAGTGTGTATTTGTCTTTTGTTTGTTACTGACAGTAGATAGCAATGCAAGGGTTTTCTTTTGAAGTACTGGGGATGTTTAAGTCTGCTATGTTAAATAAGCACATGGTATACTGCATAGATAAGCAATTCTCCTTGCTTCCTCCAATGTCTCATGCAAATTTTTTAATAATAAATCATAGTAATAAAGACTGCTACAAATGAATAACAAAATTAGATACTATGAATTGAAAAGGAAAAAAAGGGGTGGGGGAGGGAAAAGAAAGAGAGTAAAGAAAGGGGTAAAATAAATAAATAAATAAATAAAAGAGACATAATATATTTAATATAAAATGGAAAATGGATGAGTTATGGAGAAGGTCAAGAAGAAAAGCAATAATAACAATATCTTGGAGAGTATTTATTGTGTTAATGTGTCTGTTTTTTTGTCCAGTTTTAGACTGTCTTTGTACTGTATGTTAATTTTTGTTAAAAAAAAAAGTAAAAAAGAAAAATTAAGATAAAACTAAAATATAAATTCAAATAAAAGAAATAAAAGGAAAATCCCTGATAGGCAGTAAACTATAAGTAGCTAGACCATCAGTATAAATTTACTAAAAACCATAAAAAACAACTGAGGGTAAAAAGGAAAAATATACCGTATATACTCGAGTATAAGCCGACCCGAATATAAGCCGAGGCCCCTAATTTTACCCCAAAAAACTGGGAAAACGTATTGACTCGAGTATAAGACTAGGGTGGGAAATGCAGCAGCTACTGGTAAATTTCTAAATAAAATTAGATCCTAAAAAAATTATATTAATTGAATAATTATTTACAGTGTGTGTATATGATGAATGCAGTGTGTGTGTATGAATGCAGTGTGTGTATGAGTGCGCAGTGTGTGTATGAGTGCAGTGTGTGTATGAATGCAGTGTGTATATGAGTGCAGTGTGTATATGAGTGCAGTGTGTGTGTATGAGTGCAGTGTGTGTATATGAGTGCAGTGTGTGTATATGAATGCAGTGTGTGTATGAGTGCAGTGTGTGTGTATGAGTGCAGTGTGTGTATATGAATGCAGTGTGTGTATATGAATGCAGTGTGTGTATGAGTGCAGTGGGTGTATGGATGCAGTGTGTGTGTGTGTGTATGAGTGCAGTGTGTGTGCAGTGTATGAGTGCAGTGTGTGTGTGTATGAGTGCAGTGTGTGTATGAATGCAGTGTGTGTGTGTATGAGTGCAGTGTGTGTGTATGAGTGCAGTGTGTGTGTATGAGTGCAGTGTGTGTGTGTGTGTGTGTATGATGCAGTGTGTGTATGAGTGCAGTGTTTGTGTATGAGTGCAGTGTGTGTATATGAATGCAGTGTGTGTGTATGAGTGCAGTGTGTGTGTATGAATGCAGTGTGTGTATATGAGTGCAGTGTGTGTGTGTGTGATGCAGTGTGTGTTTGTGTTGCAGAGCCTTGGTGGGGGGTGGGCATTTTTATAAAAAAAAAAATGTATTATTATTTTAATTATTTTTTTATATTATTATTTAAAAAAAAAAAATTATTATTATTTTTATTATTTATATATTACCGTAATAACCCTTTAAAATCTAAAGAAATAAATATAATACATAAAAAGTTCAAGAAATTATGTTTTAAAGTGCACAAGTTCCATTTATCCATATAAATTCCATGGTGAATATTGCAAATAAGTCTAAAGATTGCTAAAGCCGGACACCTATAAGGAATAGTTGCTTAAAATCAACCTATCTACTGAATTAATTTAGTTCTTAAAAGAGCAGTACAATGACAGGCAAGTACAGTAACCCTGTAATACAGTTAAATATAGAAAATGTGACCATAACCAGTAACCTGAATTTCCACTAGGTGACCTAAGTGAGCCTGTAATTATAATAAACAATCCGTAGAGCTCAGTGTAAAATTACACACTTTATAAAAATAAAAAAAAGGTTAAAAGCACTCCACTCATGTATCAAAAGTGCATTTGGGCAAGGGCCTTCTCACCTTTCTATCACACATACAGCTTCCAAAAGCGCTGATAGTCTACATATGCTTATGGTTAGCACATTCGCCCATGTTTTAGCAAGTCAGATAGGTGGGCACCGGGGGCTAACGGGGTTTCTTGCGGCCCAAGGCTACTGTCGCATCGGGCACGCCACTAAGAGCCGGCCCAAAGCTTCTTGTTGCAGGTGATGCTCGGCATTCTGCTAGGTTTGGCCGTGCGGGCCCCTTACCCCTGTTCTGCCGGGCCTAAACAGCTCCAAAGGTCTCCCGCAAGAACACACAATCATACTCCTACGCAGTGTCCTTTAGCAAGACGTAGAGTAGACACTACTGGTTACCTCTAGGGGCCCTACACCTTCCCTGGCTGTTAGTAGCTCACGATTGTGCAAAGTAAAATGTTAATTTGATGGTTTATTAATGACGTATGTACCCCCCGTTGGGGAGCTTTATAATTTAGCTATGCAATTGGCCTTGTGCTGTTGCCTTTTCTACTGCTCATCCATTTGTGTGTGCCTGTATTCCCAGCAAGCTCGCTTTGTCAGGTCACGATTGTATGTTATGTAATGGGGGCATACTGTCTTATCTTGTCGCTGATATGTCAAACAAAAATAAAGAATTAAAAAAAAAAAAAAGTGCATTTGGGCCAAATAGGAGATCTAACAAGATACTTGAATAAGTTATGCGGTCTTGGGATGGTTGTGAGGGATGGGAGATGCAGTTTTTCCACCAAACGATTCCAAACAGAAATCGATCTGGCGTGCATTCAAGTATGCCGTCTCTGTTCCACCTGGTCGGTGTCACTGTTGATTTTGCGAATTAATTCAGTCAATAAACTTTGGGAATTCATTTTAGAGTCCATTAAAATTTACCAAACGCGTTTCGTGGATTAGACATCCACTTCTTCAGTACAGCAATGCATCGTCCTATTGATTTTTCCTGCATTTCTATGAGGAGACGCTGACTGGGGCAACGTATGGGGAATGGCCTCCCACTAGCGCAATAGACTTCCAAAGCTTTCCTATGGCAAAGCATTGGATTGACTGAGATCATCATGATTGATCATCTCAGCCATGGAAGCAGGGCTAGCTGCAAAGAGACCGGCGCAGCCGCGCAGCATGGGAAAAAAGGTGAGTAAAATCACCTTTAATCTCCACAGATAGGTGGCAGGGGAACTAAATAGAGATTCTTGCAAGATAGTGTCAGGAATACATTCTTGTATTTCTGACACTATACTGTCAATAAAACAACTATTTGTGTTTTTTTTTTTTTTTTTTTTTTTTTTTTTGCTTAGGTTTTACACACACGCTTGTCAAGCCACAATAGCTAGTCCAAGCCAATGAAATAGTAGTACATGTGTTACATTTCACAATATCATGGCATTCGTATATAGCACTTTTTTTTTTTTTTTTGTTAGTTACAGAACCTGGTTACACGGGAAATCTGCTATTCTCATCGTTTGGCCATTTAGTGAGCTGGTTAATCTTGTAACCTATGGGTTAACATGCTAGGTGAACTTCGCTAAATCTTTCTTATAACAAGTTAACATCGCTGTACTAGTTAGACATAAGGTTTGTATGCTGTGTCAATACAGGTACAGCTTAAAATGTGATTATACAGGGTAAAGGTACTA